GATGAAATCAGCTCCTTAGGGAGAATCTAAAAATGCTATGAAATACAGGGTGTTTCGTTTGAAATATCAATGTTGCTACTACTTTCTAGTAGAAGCGGCAACACTGCATTGTAGAAAATATTTCACATGAAGAGAGCGTATTCTAAAATATGAGCACGCACATTTTCATGAATTTCTCGATATAAAGAAAGTGTAAGCTCGTAGTGACATACCCCGTATAGCCCTGGTGTACTGATGTTACATACATCAGTACAGGGCTATATGAGTACCTACCTATATATGGACTAAACTAACGGTATGTAAGATACTACTTTAGTTTTACATTTAATACCCATTATACTTTCGGTCAAGGTAATGTGGGTTATCAGACCTCGTATCAAACGTAGATCGTTCTGTTCTATATAAGAAAATATTATAACGGTGAAGTGAAAGTGGCAGATATAACAAGCTCATAAAAAGGAATGTTAATGGTCAATATATTTATTTCTGTTCTACGAGTACCCTAGTGGGTACCTATATTATATTTATTCATGAATATTATTATAGTATTATGAATCTATTACCATACGCACGGAATAGAAATGTCCTATTTTCTTTCACTTAGAGCTTGCATCGATTTAATGAGATAAATCTCCTTTTTCGTTCATCATCAGACTGTCGAAATACAGGGCAACAAATAGCACTCCTTCAGATTGTACACTACTCAACAAAGTATATGGTCTCGTCCTCGTCAACTGATTACACAGAGAACAAGAATGACGTTGCACTCCAGAACTTCAGAGGATACAAGTAAATACTTGAGTTATTAAATTATTATCAAGTCCCTTGAACTGAATGAATTATGAGCAGGTATCATGTAGCCGATCATAAAAAGTGTAAGAATCCCCCTACAATACCAGCATGTGCACATACATGAAATCATAAACAAATTTTGCATAAAAAAACAACTTACTCAATCAGGTATTTTTTTATTGAGCAGCACTGTACATGCACAATCGTACCATCATCCTCTAATGCAGAATTGTTAATCCATCAAATTCCGAATGCCAAACAGCTGTTCGCGAGCACTGTTGCCAGAGCTGGTACATTTGTATAGATTCAGTACAATTTATACCCTTTCGTACATTAGTACATTTCACCCAATTCTAGTACAATTTCATGTTTTAGTCAGTTCATTCAGCTCAAATTTAGTACAATTGAACATGTATTACACAAAGCTATGAATAAAAACATATTGTCTTCACTCCACTGTATGATGGATCGCCTCAGATGGTTGAGCTGCTTATGGCTTTGAGCCAACCAGCTGGCAATAATAATAATAATAATAATAAACGTCTTTATTTGATTTAATGTTTATACAAACATTTGGCAGAGCGAAGTTTAGCCATCATGGCTACTCTTACACCTAACCCTGCACATTTATAATACATAATACAAAAACTTAACATACTTTAATCACTAAGTGCAGATGACTTGCAATTATTCAATTTTTCTATAATGAATGAATGTAATTAAATATATTTTAATTTCAAATGGCATTTTGTTCGAGCAATAAATGTAATTTAAGGCGTTTCTTGAAGGAATGAATAACATTAATTTTGAAAGAGGAATCAAGTGAATTGTACAATTTCACAGCATTATAAGAAAAAGATTTCTGGTACAAAGCTGTCGAATGGCGTGGTATATCCAATGTGTTGTTAACTCTTACATTCACATTATGTTGTTGGTTACGAAATATTAATTTGTTTCTTAAATAGATGGGAGACATCATCAACTTCAACTGTCACTACTGTCAGTACTGCACTGTTTTCTGGTGTTTTTCTGAATGTTCGATGTACAGTCCTTTTTCATCGAGTCTTCTATGGGTGATGCTGTATTTATTTTGTATACCTTTATATATTATGTAGATATCAACGATGGGATATTTTTTTAAACTATTATTTTCTGATTTTTCTTCATAATGTAGTCATTTTTTATGTATGACAATGTTTATGTTTTGTATCTTTATGGCTATGTACCTAATAGGGCATTATATATTTCATTTTCTTCTTCCATTTTATTTTACATGATGTAGTCATTTCTGACAATGGAAAATAAAAGTATTGTTCATAATTTTTTTCAAAATTTCATGTATAGTACATTGGTTTTAGTACAATTCAATAGTGATTTCAGTACAATAAGTTTTTTTCTTCAGGCAACACTGTATCGCGAGTCATACAATACAATACAGATACAGACACACATACGATGCGGATGGGACACACAGACAGATCGACAGATGCGAAACAATCGAACAGCGGCGCATTAAAGGGCCACCCCTGATGATGGGGCAAAAGGCGAGGGTGCGGTGTGTACATTGTACGTATACAGCTCACATGCATTCTACGAACGATAATACCACGTGACCCGATGACGAACGCGTATACAAATAGGGGGTGTTGGAAGTTGTAACGGTTTTTCAACCCCCTCAGCGCCCCAGCAGATATTATGAATGGATAGACCGAGACCGAACTGAACATGTGATTCAATACATCGAGAGAAATATGGATAAATATATGATCCATAACAGAGAAATGGGGTAGAAAAACAATCAGACCTACTAGATAAAAGTCCTCGTAAAAGTCTAGCAGTGAGTCTCAATGGGCGTTCATGTAATTTTTCGAAAAGAAAACATCTCACAAATAGCAAAGAAAAACAATTGAAAGGTGAGTAAGAACTGTGCTGAATTTTGATGGTGTCTTGAAAGCTAATGCATAGGTATGACGCCTCGTATGACGCATACATTATGACGAAAGCTTGCTTTGATTTTTTCCCGAGTTTTTTCCAGTATTTTCACAGTACAGTCACACCAGTTAGGAACTTCAGCAGGTAGGTATATACTCTCGGTGAAGTTATAGGTCAGCAGGTCACCTATCCACGTTACTCGCTGATTTATCAATTTGTACCGAGGTAGGTAAGCTGTATCTATTATCTATCTATCTATCTATAGAAGTTATATTACAATGATATTGTGCCCAAAGTTATTGGTACCTATCTACCTATTCCTGATTTTTAAAAAAAAATAAATATTTTTTCTCGAGTTTCGTCTTCATGAATGCTACCTCTACCTACCTACCAATAGCAGGACTGAACTGGAAGTATGAAACTATGCTCACAAAATCGTGAAGGCATCAAGTCATATAAAACAATAAATAAGCGATTGGAAATAGGTAGGTGTTCGGGTAGTAGATTTGTGAGTTTGTTCTGTATGTATCTATAGTATAATAGGAGTCACATAATCTATGACATAAGTGTGTTCTAAAAATAATTAGGTAGGTATTTCTCAATTCTACTGTAGCCGCATTGTCTACAAAACAACCTATGAGATTTTGAAATATTATGCTGCATTGAAATTGCCTCGGAAATTGCACTATCTATAATATCTGGATAAGTATGTACTTATTTCAAAATAGTTGCCTTACCTACCTAGGTACCTACTTATCGCAACAATGAATGCCAAGATAACGTCCAATAAAAACAACCTACCTACCTATAACAAATATTTGTTCAGCCATCTTTATGAAATAAATAAGTGGGTACCTATGATGCAAAATACAGACAAATACATAATTATGCCCTTCCCAAAAAAATAACAATAGGTAGGTATAGTGTATACCTACCTATCCTACTCCCTATCCTAGAAACAAATCTACAGAATGAACTACCTATCCGGGTATAATTGGAAAATACAGCCTCTTAGAAAAAAACACATTTGTCATACCCAGGTCTTCATATTTTTTATGTCATAGCACATTATACAGGGTGTATCTAAATAACACCGAAAAAATTCAAGGGGTGTTTGCTTGTGATATTGTAGCAAATAAAGTTCACATAAACATGTATTAACTTGCACCGTTTTCGAGATACAGGATGTTGATGTTAGAAGTATTAATTGTTTTTATTTATAACCCCCCCCCCTGTATAAGCTTTTATGGTGCCAAAATTCAGTATGGATGGAGACTAAGAAAGCCCCAAAATTTCAAAACACCTACATTAAAATTTGGGGTCAAATCGAATTTTTATTGTTTTCTCAAAAACCAAGCTGGATACAAAAATCACACAGAGAATAAAAAAGTTGTTATTCCAATAGTTCAATCTAATGAAAATATGAAACTCAGAAAAACTGTTGACATAGGTACAATGACATTCATCATGAATATCGATAAATTTACCCACTGTGACGCCACTGGAAATATTATTTCGAATCAAATTGCACTAGAAGAAGCTCCATATTACTATTAACAAAACCACAACGTTTTATTGAAATTGATAAAAAGACAATTGAGAAATGAATAGAAAAGATTTTTCATGGAAATATTAATACCCTGTCGGTATCTCGAAAACGAAGCAAGTTAGGACACAATCATGTTTACCTATATGAACTTTACTGTCTAAAATATCACAAGTACCTAATCACAACTTGAAATTTTCCTGTGTTATTCATATACACCCTGTATAGGCATCTTGGTAAATGATAGGAAGCTGATTGAATCAGACAAGAGTTGCCTATCTTAGTGAATAATGAAACAATGTTTCCAAATCCACTTTTTGGCGCACTAAGGTAGTGTTCAGATTCTTGTTTTGATTCTAATGATGAGTGAGTTTCAATTTCTCAGACATTGTCGATAAAAATGAAAAACTAGTAGGTAGGAGAATCACTTGCATGCTTACAGTGCATAGAATTAAAAAAAAAAGTGTATTGACTCGGCCGTTACTTGATGGAAATCCATAGTGAATGGTAACATAGTAGCTTCTTCAGGTGAAATATGGGCACAATAAACTAGGAGTTTATTGAGGAAATAATTATTGAAAACGGTCCACGCAAAGATAATGGAAATCAATTGAATTGATCCAATAAGATTCCTATGAGTTTCAAATGCATATTCATTCAAATTAATGCAGATGGAGCAAGATATAAGATATAAATGAGTAAGTTTTCATCTCAGTTTTCATGAACTCACCAGTAATAAGACGCTGTGGCTGCGATTTCAGTTCTTCGAGCCTAGACGTCGATTCCATTTCAGCTTCTTGGACAGCTTTCAAGGGAATAGGTCTGATGATCTCCCTGGGGAAGCCATACAATTCCTGGCAGTCGAATTCTTCTTCAGCGGGACGTCTCTTGATCGGTCTGATAGCTTTTTGGGGGGTGACAGGCCTCCAGTTGTAAGGCCCGTCCGGATTCAGAGTTTTCTCCGTCTTGAAGTTGAAATTCCACCGTTCCGACTCCGTCACTGTGATTTTTTCCAATTCCTCGTCGATGAATTTTTGTGTGGCAACATGATCCGGTCGATCGAAAAGAACTCTCTTCACTTTTCGCACTTCTGGCATGCAGAATAACATTTTGTCCGGCGTTTTCGATAGAAAAAGTCCGAGCGGTTTGTAAACACTGGTGCTCATGTTGCGAAAGCGAAAATTTTGTTTACGTCGCGCAGGCAACCAGGATTACAGCCAAGCGGCCACGCGCCAACTCTCGATTTATCCGCGGATAGCCACAAAAAAGTACGAAAACCACCAAGAAATATATCCTCGCGTGCCACAATCCAGTCAACGATCACACTCCAACAAAAATAACAACAATCACAGCAAATAACTATGAAATTCCGTCTTCACTTATTGCACGGCGTCTTTTACTGAAGCACACAACAACACATCCAACACGAAGGAAAACGAAATCGTAAATGTGACAAACGCGCGACTCGTGCTTTCCGATATTCCGATTCCGAGCGTAGCTTGGACGCGCGGAACGTCGGAGAGGCGAGGAGAAGAGTTTCGGACCGGTCCAAGTCCGACCGCGAGGTGAGGACGCTCGATCGCGTTCGAAATCGTTCCGGAGCGGTCCATCTTGAAAATTTGAACTTGAATTACGATGAGATTACGATTTACGAATAGGTAGTGTAGTAGATACTAGATAGATATACAGTGTGACCAAGATAAGATTGCCCTGCACAACATGGGGATCTCGGAAACGGGAGGAGATACGAATTCGATTACATGGGAAAAAAGTGGCGCATTCAATGGATCATAGGTAGCAAACCAACGTTCAAACATGTTCAAAATTATTTTAACTGTGGATTTATGCAGCATCAATTAACAATAATTATCAAATATGTAGAACAATTATTATCAATTTACCTACCTATACCTAGGTATAACAAGTAGAAGGATGGTCAACTTTTATGCTGGGTTTATAGATTCAACTAAACTGAGAATTAAAACTTACAACTAGGTATGAACTTGAAAAGTTGAATACAAGGAAAACACCTATGAGGGTTTATACATTTACATGTGTCATTTGAATTAAGAATTACAAAGTTGGCCAACTTTCAACGTAGCAACGTGGTAGCAACTAAGAATTAGGAAATTATAGAGACAGAACATGAAGATAGGATTTGTTGTTCAAGTGGAGTTAGGTGATATTAAATTGAATTATATTTTTTATGGATTCATGCATTGTGGAAACCAAAATCACTATTTAACATCATTTTGATCTTTAATCAATATACATTTCACATCTAGCTCTTGATCAATATCAGAAATGTATAAACACCCTCATGATTATTAATTGTTGATTGTTAATTGTTAATTCCTGATTGTTAGTTCAATTGAATCTATAAACCCAGCATTAACTTTCTACGTTAATTGAACCAGGTTTTCTTTATTGTACGCCGCCACTAGTATACGCACTATAGTACGAAGATCACCTTGTATATGACCGAGGATTGGTCCATGATTTGTATGATGGAAACTACCTATAACCTCAAAACATTTCCCGGTTTTGCGTTTCTTTTTTTATATTTCAATATTCCTATTATTTTTTAGTCTTGGCCATACTATAGTGATTGCAATTCGTAGAACCATCATCAACTTCTTTTTTTTTAGATTCTGAAAGCTTCTTTAAACATTGATGTACTTATTTAATAATGAAAAGTGAACAAAATATTTCACTAAATTATTCGATGGAGCGCTTTAAAATATTGTTTCATGTGTGCTTATCGCGAGAACATGAGCTGTCTTCAAGTTCTGATTGGTCTGACAGTGTTCATGTTTTTAACGATGTATAACCATGGATAGGAAATCAAAGTCTGGATGTAACCATTTTGACACTGAATGATCAGAAATAAGTGGAACCATGTGGAACTATAAAAACTTCACAAACGATAAGATTTCCAAATAATTCTTAGTCACACGAAAGTTTTTACATTTGCTATGGATTTCCATCAATTAACGGCCGAGTCAATTCGAAAAATAAGTGGAACTGAAGTATTTCCTCTTTGGAATTTCGATAAAAAATTAGGTCGAAACACATTCAAACCAACTTTTATTCTACATGCTTGAATTCAGGATGAACGGCGATGCTTTCAGAATCTGTGAACACATAATCAGGAGCGTGATTAAAAAAATGTTGATGCTGGTTCTACGAAAAGGAAACGTCGCAGAGGGAAATCAATATCACCATGCACGTTAAATCTCATCAAGATTTGCTGTTGAAAATTATTTTCAGTTTTTCTGTGTGTCTAATAATAACGTAGAAAAAAAAAATAGATTTTCAAAAAATTCACTTGTTTCAATATAACTGAAAAACTATAAACAGTTTTTTACACCACTATAGCTCACCTCAAGGCTGAAGTGTGATTTTGGATTTGGAAGTTTTTGTCATTTTATGAACCACCATATACTTACTTAGTCAATAAAGACATAGGTGAATATCTATTGTCATAATTTTGTTGCCAATCAAAATTATTCAATGATATTTCGTGATCATCCCAATTGATAGACGCTGAATCTGTAGAGGTGAATTTTCTTGAGAAAAAAAACGGTAAGGATATTTCGCAACTTTTGAAAAAACAGGTAGTGTGCTTTGAAAATCTCACAAATTAATTTCGATTTGTGGTATTACGAAGTATTACGACGACCAGATATCGATAACTTTGATGAAAACCAGTTCTTGTGGACAGTTTTTGTGTCAAGAAGAGAATAACACCATATATCATAATATACTATTCAAGAGGTGTAGCTAAATGTGCAATGCAAGAATGCCATGCACACTGGAAAAAGTTGACAGTACTTAGTTTATTCGTAGGTATATATAGGTATCACGTAGGCATGGTAGGCATACCAATATTATACATACAAAAAAATGAATAAATTGAAACCTAATTACTAATACTAATTACCTATACATAATTATGCATACTCATAGTGTCACACTTAGACCTGTGTATGTGTAATTTATAGGGTAGGTTCGAAGTCCTATAGTATTTAAAAGAGATGTATGCTCGAACTGTATACAGGGTAGTAGAAAGAACTTTTGAAGCGTGTTCAATATTGCATTTGAGGTTGAAATCACAAATATAGAACCCCTCCTAACCAATAACGAAGTAGTAAGTAGTTCTTCTATTTGGTAAGTACAGATTTATGTTTATAAAGAAAACGGAATTTATTAAATCACAAAGAATATGTCTCTAGACTTAAATATTCTGCTATCACTGAGTTTTCATCAGAAATAATACTCCAAATTCTTCCCCTCTGAAGTTTGTAATGTGTATACATATTGTCGTCGTCTGTGATGAAATCAAGGTGAAGGATTGATTGGTTTTCATTTTTTGAGGGTTTTCTGATCATTTTTCACCTAGTTCCTTCCTTCCTGAAGGATCAGATGATTCTCTTCTACAAAATCGTATTATCTATACTAATATTATAAACAGGAAATATTCGATTGTTTGTTTGTTTTCATGTATTGAATAAGCTCCGAAACTACTGGATTGGCTGAATTTTATTGAATACTTTTTATCCCGGTACCATTAGGAAATTCAAGATGGATGGATATTTCGGACGAGTTTCTTAATTCGTCAGAATTTGAAAATTCGGGCGGAATTAGATATCATATATCGGAACCAATATATTATTATGGCGGACGAGTTTTGTAGTTATAATTCGATTCTTTTCAAAATTGGTACCTAGGGGTTTTCGCGTGATCGTGGATTATGATTCCTTCGTCAAAATCAAGAAATTCAAGATGACGGATCCAAAATGGTGGATTTTGCAATTAGGATCTGATTTCAATCAAATTTGGTATCTGGTCGTGGTTCTCGGGGTCGGAGATTATGATTCTTTCGTCAAAATAAGGAAATTCAAGAAGGCGGACCCAATATGGCGGACGATTCCGACTCTCTTCAAAATTGTTATCTGGGTGTTTTCGGGGTCGGAGATTATGATTCTTTTGTTGAAATTTGGAAAGGACGGGATTTGGAAATTCAAGACGGTGGAACCAATATTCCGGACGAGTTTTGTAATTTTATACCGATTCTATTCAACATTTATAAGATGGGCATCTTCGGGTTCAAAAATTATGATTCCTCCGTCAAAATTGGGAAATTCAAGTAAACTTGAAGAAAGTTGAAATAAATGGTAGTTTGAAAAACTATATATAGAAACACGCTTTTATAGATTGCGAAACCAAAAAGAAGTCGAAAATAAAATAATGGATATTGAACTGAAAAAATATATTATAGAAATGATGTATATTGTATATAGCAAAACAACGTTTGCGAGGTCTACTAGTATATAATATGAAGAAACTAGCTTTTGTTGGTGAATGAAAAAATGAGATAAACATGCAGTGTTTTCCGGAATTGTGAGTCAGAAAGGGTTTTCCACCTTTGTGTGAACTGTGAAAATAATGATGCATGTTATTGTTAATGTACTACATTTTGTTCAACAAAATGATTGCACTTGAGAAAATTCCTATTTGTCATGACCAAGCGTGTAGTTCATGCACGTTTTCAAACACTCGCTTCAACGTAAATCAAAACCGAAACGTGTTATTATGATAGGTCATGAACGTAATTTTCCTGGTCGTTACACTCACGTTTCATAAACAAAAGGAAGAACAACTATACAACTCGCGTTGAGTCATAAGAAATCTACACCATACAGTGTGTTTAAATGGGTGACTCCACTCTCAATGATCTCGTAATGTCTTCTTCAGCAGAGAAAAATTTAGTTCCAACATCAAAATTCTCATATGACAATTCAATTCATGCGAGAATTCATTGTTTAAAGAATCCCAGAAGCCGCGTGAAGTTGTCATTATGACAGCAAAAAAAGTTTGCCCTAACTGCCAGAAAAAATTACTCCTCCTATGGACTCGTAGTTTTTTCAGAGGCAGTTTTTTTAGTCAAATTGACAGGCAACAAAATTTTTATTGATACATGTCAAGTTTACTTCGAAAAAAATAGTAGATTGTTTTATTAGGATCAAAAGTGACACTTTGTTTGACAAGCGAATTTTGCATTTGCGAGGCGGAGCGCTTAGCGAAGCCGAGCGAAAGCGAAATTTGCGAGTCGAACAAAGTCACTTTTGATCCGAATGAAACATGCTATTTTTTCTGCAACCGA